CTTATCATATATTAGGGTACGTGTTCCATTCTTAGTAGTTAGATTTTGTTTTGTGCTCCTTGAGCAAGATCAGGACTGCCTTGGTGAACAGATATGCTAAGTTCTCACTTGAACGAATTTGTTGAATATTAATCTCACCTTTCTTCTGAAGGTCATGAGTGAAGAAGAATTTTGGTGAAATGTGCTTTGCTCTGTCTCCCTTGATGTATTCCTCCTTTAATTGAGCGATACATGCTGCATTATCTTCATATATTGTTGTTGGAGTATCATCCACATGTAGACCACATGCCCATCTAATATATCGAGTAATTGATTTAAGCCATACACATTCCCGGCTTGCTTCATGGATAGCAATTAGCTCAGTATGATTTGAAGAAGTGGCAACAATGGTCTGCTTAGTGGAACGCCAAGATATAGTAGCACCTGCACTTATAAACAAATAACCAGTTTGGGATCGCGCTTTATGCGAATCCGAAAGGTATCCGGCATCTGCATAACCTACCAAGTCCCATTTGGAATCTTTTGTATAACATAATCCCAAATCAATTGTTCTTTGGAGGTAGTGAAATATATGTTTGATGCCATTCCAGTGCCTTCTTGTTGGACAAGAATTATACCTTACTAATAGATTAACAGAAAATGCAATATCAGGCCTTGTATTGTTAGCAAGGTACATTAGTGCGCCTATTGCACTAAGATATGGCACTTCCGAATCAAGGATTTTGTCATTATTTTCCCAAGGTCGGTAAGGATCCTTTTTCACATCAAGAGTTCGAACCACCATTGAGCTACTCAATGAATGTGCCTTGTCCATATAAAATCTTTGAAGAACTTTCTTGGTATAATTTGATTGATGAACAAAGATACCTTTATTCAAATGTTCAATCTGTAGACCAAGACAGAATTTTGGTTCTTCCAAGATCTTTCATTTCAATTTTTTTTTCAAATAATCTATTATTTTTGGGATTTCCTCAAGGGTCCCGATGATTGATCGTAGCAAAAATAAGATGTGAGCTCGGGTGTGTTATGTCGTCTTCAGGGGATTGAGGGATATGGCACGCAATACACAATCACAAGAAACTAGGCACTAGCACCAGGCAATCAACAAGAAGCTAAGCAAACTACAAGCTTAAGGAAATGATAAGACTAACACATATACACAAAGATAAACACAAAATAAAGAAATAGGACTCAAGCTAGGGAGCATTATCATCTAGATGCTTTAACAACCTAAGGGATTAGGGAGAACAAGTAAGCAAGGAATCAAACGGGAATGCACGTAGGTATCCTAGTCTATGAACCATTTTTGTGATTAATAAACAAGGATTAGAACAAGAAATTGCTCCACTTTCGTGGTGAATCAATTCCAAGTCCATCAAGCACAAAAGCATCTAAAGCCCCCAATTTCCCCTATTTTCGTAGGAAGAAATCGGGTCTATGCAAGGGGTGGCTTGGATTCATCACCCAACTCTCGTTGAGGCAAGGAATCCTCCAAAAACAAGCTAATGAATGTGTACATCAAACATTAACAAGATATAAATACAAAACCTTCACAAACACATGAACCCTAGGTTGGAGTTCTTCCCCTTTTTTGCAATAATCACAAATCAAGCATCAAGATAGAAAATACAACCCTAACTCAAGTCCATAAACTAACTACTCATGATTAAATAGCATAAAGAACACAAAAACACAAGTAATAAGCATAAATCTTGGAAAATAAAGAGATAAAAGGAAGGAGAACTTATGTATTGAAAATGGAAGAACAATCTTGAAATGTTGGAATCCAAGCTTCAAATCCAAAATTACAAGCTTGAAAAGTGTTAAGAAACATAAATCTAAGCCTAATCTAACCTAAAAATATGAAGGAGAATGAAAGAGAGTGTCTAGGGTTCTAACAAGAGTCAAAACCAAGTAGAAATGACCAAAAAATGGAGTTTATAAAATTGCAGAGCACAGTGACACGGCCAGGGACATGGCCATGTCCCTGGCCGTGTCCAAAATAGCAGTGAACACTGGAATTGCACAGAAAATACACGGCCATAGACACGGCTGTGTAGTTGGTCGTGTATTTTGGCCTTTAAAACATCAGAATTTGGAATTATGATCTTCATAAAAGTTGTAGCCCTTCGAGTTTTATTTCTATTGGCGCAAGAATCACTTCATTTGGACATTCCTAGGCCGAGATATGGTCCAAAAACCAAACAGTGGTCAGTTTTGAATTGTAAGTTTGGAACTTCAACTTCAATGATGATTTTGACCCCTGTGGCTTCCGTTTTAGACTTTTGTGTCTGAATATTAGTTGTAGCTCTTTGAGTCTTCTTTCCAATGGGACAAGAATCACATAATTTAGATATTTCTAGACCGAGATATGGCCCGAAAACAGAACAGTGGCCAATCCATGCGAGAATTTCAGCTTGTTGACACTTGTTCCACTTTTGCCTTGGTTTAATTTGTCCATATGATCAACACCATTGAAAACATCACTCTTTGGCTCCTTTGGAAGTGTTGCATCCATCTCCTTAGCTTCACCTTGGCTCCCCTTGACTCCAAATGCATCCAACATGATCTAAAATCCTTCATTTCTACTCAAAGATAATGAATTGTGCATAATGGATCAAATGAGCAAAATAAAGATCATTTTGAACAACATTGTGACACTTCATAAGCAAAAAAAGGCTAAATATGGGGTAGACATGGAGTATAAATATGAACAATTATGCACTTATCAATGATATTCATATCATCAACATAAACAGCGATTATGACAAATCCATGTCTAGATCTTTTTTATAAAAACACATGGGCAGATTTGATCATTGGTATAACCTTCTTTCAGTAAATATTCACTGAGTCTGTTATACTACATACGCCCTGATTGCTTTATTCCATATAAAGATCTTTGTAACTTTATCGAGTAAAGTTCTCGGGGGCTTGTTTTATGCCTTTCAGGCATTTTCAGTCCTTCAGGGACTTTCATGTAAATGTCACTATCAAGTAACCCATACAGATAAGCTGTTACAACATCCATTAGTTACATTTTTATCTTTTCATGCACAGTTAGGCTAATGAGGTATCGTAATGTTACAACATCCACAACGGGTGAATATCTTTCATCATAATCGATACCTGGTCTTTGAGAGAACCCATGAGCTATGAGTCTTGCTTTATACCTCATAACCTCATTGTTGTCATTTCTTTTTCTTACAAAGACCCATTTGTATCCCACAGCTTTTACCTCTTTAGGTGTTTGGACGATTGGGCCAAATACTTTTCGTTTTTCAAGCGAATTCAATTATGCTCATATTGCTTCTTTCCATTGAGGCCAATCGTCCCTATTTTGACATTCATGAATGGATCTTGGTTCATGATCCATATCATCATTCATGATACTCAATGCTACATTATATGCAAAACAGTCATTCACAATGATTTCATTTCTATTGCATATATCTTTAGCGTTAGTATAATTTATCAAGATCTCTTCATTTTTCTCAATTTCTGGTGAATGAATCTCTTTAGGAATTTCTTTCCTTTCATACTCATTTTTATGAGTTTTCTCATTTTTCTCACAAAGATCATTCTTTGTATTGACCTTTCTTTTTCGATGATTTTTACCCTTCGAACCAATAGGTCTTCCACCCTTTAAGCGTACTTGAGATTCATTCCCAGTTTGATCTTTTGGAATGTCACTACTAGCAGAAACATTAGCTGCTGGGACATAAGATTTTGTTACCCTTTTCGGGTCAACAAATGCGTCTGGCAGTTTATTTGCCAATTCACGCAAATGAATTATCCTTAAAACTTCTTGTTCACATTGTTGAGTTCTGGGATCTAGATGAAGCAATGATGGAGTATTCCATGTCAATTTCATCTTCACAATTTTATTTTCTCCTTTCAATGTTGGAAATGATGCTTCATCAAAATGGCAATATGCAAATCTTGCAGTAAACATATCTCCCGTTAATGGCTCAAGATATTTAATTATCGAGGGATATTCATAGCTAACATATATTCCCAATCTAATTTGAGGACCCATTTTAGTCCGTTGTGGTGGAGCAATAGGGACATATACTGCACAGCCAAATATTCTCAAATGAGAAACATTAGGTTCCTGATGAAAGGCTAATTGCAATGGAGAATACTTATGATAACTCGTCGGCCTAATTTGAATTTGCGCTGCTGCATGCAAAATAGCATACCCCCATGCATTTGATGGGAGTTTACTTTTCATAAGTAATGGTCTAGCTATTAATTGTAGCCTTTTGATAAGTGATTCTGCTAGACCATTTTGCGTATGAACATGCGCTAACGGATGTTCAACGTCAATCCCAAGTGATAAAAAATAATTATCAAAAGCTTGGGATGTAAATTCTCCAGCATTATCCATTCGGATTGATTTAATTGGATGGTCAAGAAAATGGGCTTGCAATTTTATTATTTGTGCAATCAATCTCGCAAATGCCATATTACGAGATGTTAATAAGCACACATGCGACCATCTAGGTGACGCATCAATCAGGACCATAAAATATTTAAATGGTCCACTATATGGATGTATTGGTCCACATATATCACCTTGAATTCTTTCAAGAAATGCCGGTGATTGAATACCAACTTTGGTTGGTGATGGCCTTATAATTAATTTTCCTTGAGAACATGCAGAACAAAAGAATTCATCTACTCGAAATATTTTATGTTCCTTCAAGGTATGACCATTTGTGCTCTCAATGATTTTTCTCATCATCACATATCTAGGATGACCCAATCGGTCGTGCCAAATCTTAAAATCATTTAAATCAGTAAACCTTTCGTTTACTATAAGATTGGCTTCAATGACACTTATTTTTGTGCAATATAAACCAGAGGGAAGAGTATGGAATTTTTCCATCGCATATTTCTTTCCCGATATTGCCTTTGTAATTTGAATGAATTCTTGATTACCTTCTTTTATAGTCTCAGCATGATATTCATTTTTTCGAATATCTTTAAAGCTCAACAAATTTCTTTGAGACTTCGGAGAGTACAATGCATTATCAATCATCAATTTTGTTCCTCCAGGCAATAATATATTGGCTTTTCCAGAGCCTTCAATCATTTTTGCACTACCACATATTGTAGTGACATATGCCTCATTTCTTTTCAATAGGCAAAACTATTTTTCTCTTTTGAGAATCGTATGTGTGGTTGCACAATCCACAATACATACATCTTCTTCATTTACCTTGGATTTTATCACAAGTGATGATATATTCATATTGTTTCTTCAACAAAACAAGGAAATAACTTTTATTAGAAATATTACAAGGATAGTAAG